TCCCAGTCCTCCATTAACTCCGTTAATATACGAAAAACTTCGATGCAATCATCACTCTTCGATTCCAAACAAAAAACGACGAAAACTAGCTACCTGTTGTGTCAAGTATGGCGACTACTCTGACCACATCGTGGATACACGACTTTCGAGTGGAAGTGTTCGAAAAGAATCAACATGAACTTCCCATAATTTCCTTATTGTCATCATCCACAGGCGTACTTCACCACACGCATATTTCCCTACATAAAAGTACAAACTTACATTGTTCCGATCCATAACGGCAGCAACAAACTCAGTGTAGTCAACTTCCCCTGATTGATCAGCATCGACGGACTCGAGGATTTGATAGATATCATCAGGAATCTCAATGTCAAGACGCCGCAAACCAGACACGATCTGCAACATAACTTCATCTCTTTCCTATCATCGATACCCAAATACTATCACCTCCTGGGGACTGAGCCCACCGGAGTTGTCCTTGTCCAGTGTAATAAACGTTTCTCTCATTTGTTCCATTTCTCTAGAGGATGTGTTGAATGCGATAACCGTCAATACTGCTCGCTCAAGCCTTCGGAAGTTGCCGAAACCTGCATTATGCAGGCTCTATAAGGCGGGAAACAGCCTCTGGATTAACATATATCAATTCGCTATTCATATCGCTCTTTCGGTGTAAAACTGATCTCCGATGACTCCAACACTCGGATCACATCTATATCTTTCTCAAGCGCATTAGAGAAAAAAGTGAGAAGAGGCTGCGCGAAGGACCTATCCGAGGCCGAATTACTCCGTAAATGGTGCAATAGCTGCCGTTGTTGATATGCTGGGTAAAACTCATGTTGTCGTAGCCAGGGATGATTCAACGCCTCTCTAGCTGATGGCCGTTTAGAAGGATCCTTCTGTAATAGTAGGCCAACCAACCTAATTCGAGAGAGGTAACTCCATATCAACGGATTATTGTGGTACATACTCAGCCGCAGGTTTACTTGGGATCTTAGTCAAATCAGGTTCCATAGTCTTAACCCTATGAAATAGCTCCCTCTCATCACTTAAACTCTTAGGTGTCCAAAAGGGATGTTGACCTACTTATCATCATTATTACCATACCTCATGCATACCCTTTACCCCCCTTTTACCAGTAAGCATAATATACATGATTATCCCAACAGACCATGAGTCGCACTTCTCATCATAATAGGTGTTATCTGATATAACTTCTGGTGCCATGTAAAGGGCAGTACCTGAGGAAGACAAGACGAATAGGGGCCGGTATGCCAATGGTCCATAGCATTCATGCATCTATTTGGTGAACAGGGGCCGGTATGCCAATGGTCCATAGCATTCATGCATCTATTTGGTGAATAGGGGCCGGTATGCCAATGGTCCATAGCATTCATGCATCTATTTGGTGAATAGGGGCCGGTATGCGAACCCTCTAGACGCCAAAATTTGCTACGTTGAGATGTTCTGTCGCGCAATGGAAATTCTTACGTCTATTGGAGACTTCTGAGTAACAAGCCCGATACCATAAATCGCTTGACGTGAACTACAAGTAGTCTACAACACACTAAATTATGCTCACTACCTAGAACGTCCTTCAACCAGGGCTTATCGTGGTACATAGGCTTCAAGCCAGCAAGACCAAAGTCGATCAACTTTACACAGGAACGCATGTCCTTATTCTTAAACAGGCAGTTTTCCAACTTCAAATCTCTATGGACCTACAAGAAGGGAAATCTAACCCATAGTTGAGTAGATTTTTCGAAGATGAAGCTTTGGTGACATGGGGCTAGATAATGACCGATATGATATAAAGGATAGCAGATACGATTAATAGTTGAATTGAAGGTTTTCACGAATTCATTTGAATAAATGTCACAACAAAGTCATTATGGTACGATCTATCTAACGTGATAGTCAGCAATCTCTCTACAAGTCTTATCACACTCTACTTTAGATTTTTATGAACGAATACCTCCGACCCCATATTACTATCCCAGCTTGATGCAGATAGGCCACTCCAAGGAAGATCTGGCGGATTATGGATCCTATAAGATGATCTGACGCCGTTTCCAGCGCCCGAGTCGACCAAGCGAGTCGTGGATGGGAATAATTCTATGCTTACCCGAATAAAGCTCCTCCCTCTTGTCAATGACGTCGAACAATTCGCCGCCCTCGCACAACTCCATTATGACGTACAGATTATTATCCGATTCATACCACGAGAGCATCCTGAATCATGCTGAATGCTTCGCTCCGCTGAGTTCCGAAGTCGTGATCAACTTCAATCGGGTAAATTCCCCTTCACGGAACACAAACATCTATTTTCTGGGGGGGATTTATGAACAAAATCCAACGCTTCCACGTTCTCCCAGAACAAGCTAGTAACAACGAACGGGAAAAGTAAATGGCGAAGGACAGAGAAGAGTTATAGATCGTTCAGGTTTGTAGACAAATATCAGTTTATACGCTTCTGGGTTACAGTAATATACTACCTTATGATGTTCGGATGATCCAAGCTGATAAGAACCTGCAACTCTCTCTCCAACAATTCCAAATCCTCGACTCTTTTCTTTGATATTATTTTACACGCCCTTCTAGCCCCTGTAGAGCGTTCATGAACCTCGTACCTAAGTTATTGAAGTAACTTCACAGAGATACGGTATCAACTTTATGTAACTGCTGCCCCAATCGGTACCACTAGCTCGAACAGTAAACGTATATGTCTTAGCGATTACATTAATTTACCACATCCCCACGACCCATTACTACACCGAAGCGTATCCTCCCTTCCCCAGACGGATGCCCGTCCATTTATACCTAGAGCATAACAGATACTGAAAGTCCAACACTCCTTGGCATACTTAGACGTAACCTTCCTAGTTGGGTCGAGCTTGAGTCTAAGGCTAATGATATCGGTATGGTCCAAGCCCGCATCCACAGCTCCCGATGGTGATCGCATCCCTCCGAGACTGTTGCCATACATCCCGGGATTGATAAAGCTTGTCCGATCACTTCGTTGCCGTTGGATTTCATACACCTGTGGAGAACAACTTCATTTTCGCAAGGCAGAAATTTTTGTTCAGACTTTCCCCTCAAGTGAATCGCACGAATGTGACTGTACTACGTGGTCGTATGGTGCTTTATACGGTGAGAGCCCCTACGGCGGATCGTATCCGTTGAACGCTTTGTTTAAATTGATCAAATAAACCCTCTGATCTATTGCTCATCAGTATACCTCCCAGGGACCTCACAGCACTACCTGATCCCTCACCCTATCTGTGATGGAATGCTCCAATCGTGGTGGAGGCGGTGCGTCGAGTAAACCATCCCCTACCAGGCCCTAACAATGATAACACCTCTTCAACCAAGGGTCCCGACTATAGGGGAACGATGTCTTCCCTTATTCGAGCATAGGTTCATACTTAGGCACCCATACTTAGACACCCAATCATAATCCCACATTAATACCCTCTCCCATTCTACCAATTTCTCATGTTGAGCAACAAGCCGACGATCCCGTCGATTCAATACATCCTTCCCTGCAGGGTCCACTCCAAAACACCATCGAACAGCAGCCCCTGAGTACTTGAACGCTACTTCAACATTACTTATGTTAATAGTACCGAGGCAAGCACAACAGTCCGCTTGAGGGGGCGGCATTCGATAAGTTGATGATGACGGCTCTCCACGTCTGACAAAACGAAGAGTGGAGGAATCGAGCCAGGGACCTACGCCGTGTACGACGGGCTGTTTGTCGGCGACGTTAAACTGAACCGTGAATATTGCCGCGCCGATGCTACGTCGAACCTCCCTCGCGATCCACTTCCCCTCTTCCCCGATTTCCCACCATCACCACTGAACTCCATCGATGCATCCCGCAGTATGAAGATTTCTCACCCGAGTATCTTTGCATCATTATCGTGGTGGGCTATCAATGTAGAGAAGGATAAATCATCCTCAGGAAGTTTCCCTTCAGGTATCGTTGGTGGAATGGTATCATTCTCCCGTCTACGTCGATTCCACAATCGCGAAGAACCATCATTACTCGTAACCATCACAGAACTGACTCATAATCATCTATGCTC